TACTAACAATCGAAACGTCGTGAAGTAAATTGGCTTGAAATCTTCATTTTTTTTCAAATGTTCAATTTTCAATTGTTTCTTGTACTATAATTCATTGTAATTCAATTTCAGGATTGTTTGCTTAATATTATGGGTTTTTTCAGCTATTCATTTTGTTTTAATTGACTCTTTCAGAGATTTCAAATCATTTTATATCATATTAGAAAATGGAAATCTGAACTTGAGAACTTGGGTGGCAAAGTATATAAGTGTATGCAATACAGCATTGACAGGCTACCGTTCTCCCCAGCCAGACTCCTGGGGTTAATGGAAGACCCTACGGAGCATATCCAGAATATCCTTCAGGAATATCCATTAGCCATCAGACAGCGGAAAATCACAGCTCGGAACGCCCTGAGAACTCAAATGAAACCAACAACACTTCAGACCCAAAACAAATCCACACTCCCATGAACACCGACCACAACCAAGAACAAGGACAACCGAATTCAATATTTATAGTTATTATTTATAATCTATAATTTATAATTCATCTAATATTTAAGATAATACATACTAACCCATACTAACACTGATATGATAATACTGTAAACCCTGAAAAGGCATAAGCCAATAGCAGGGTCCCAACAAATATTAAAAAAACATTGTAAATTACTAACGCTAATAATGAATAAACGTTATCAAGCAAACAAAAGCATTGCTTGCCTGCTTGATAACGTTCTTGATAACGTCAACCTGTGGGATAATCCTTTTTGTATACATTATTCAGATATGTAGATACTTAGGTACAGGTAGGTACTGCTTAACGTAGAAACTTTGTGAAGTTGTGTACCCAGTTAGTTATGAATTGAAGATGACGAGTTGTATCGTTCAAATGAAACTGATTGTTATTATTAGATTTATAAATACAAAAATACTTTTGAGGCCACATATATGGCTTTTTACTTTCCCATCTTTATGCAAAGTATGTGGATGACTTCTGAAAAAAAAAAATTGTGTTTAAAGTAAATTATTTATAAAGGTGTGTAGATTATGCACAGAAGTTTCTTTTCGTTCCAAACTAGAAGAAACAATCCTTTCAGAACAGCTTCTTTCATAAGAACATTGAATCACACGAAAATCACCTTTTCTCATTCAGTTTGTTCTCTATTCATTTATATGAACGCTACCCAACGTAATATATGGAACAGAATTGATAAAAATATTCACTTACACGGAAATCTATCATTGTACTGATTTCTCCAAGGCCTTTGACAAAATAAAACATAAAATACTCCTAAAGAAAATGGATTGTTTGGGTTTCAATGATATTGTTTAGAAAAATAACATTTTGAAATCATGTTGATACAATGGATTTTGTTCTCTAAACTATATTGCAACCACTGGAGATCTTTGCGATACATTATATTGTAATAAATTAACATTTTTCAGATGACTTAAAATTATATATTTCTCTTTCTGATTTAGATGATTGTATTATACTACATTATACTACAGGAACAAATTAACTCTTTACATGATTGGTGTTTGAAAAAGTACTTTTTCTTGAATATTTCTAAATTCTTGAACATTTCTTTCTTCTTGATAATATTAAAGACTTACGACTTCATTTCGAAATTAAGCTTACATTCAACTTTCACATAAACGAAATTACTAAATCAGCATATTGTATATATGGTTTCATCTTCAGATATTGTGGGAATTTCAATGATATCACTGCACTCTCAACTCTTTTCTTCAGTCTAGTAAGATCTAAACTAGAATATGGATTATTAACATGGAATCCCATTTATAGTCAATACTCAATAACAATCGAGAAAGTCCAAAAAATTTTTGAAATTTGTACACTACTAGGTTGATGGAGTTTATCCATGAAGAGGATCTTAATACATGCATATACTACGCAGATTCGATTTCGTAACTTTAGAAAAACGCAGAAATGAAGCATCCATAATATTTACACATAAGCTATTGAATGATGAAGTTGACTCCCCTGTACTATTATCACAAAAAGATTTTCATGCGCCGAGATTGTAGTCTAGATCAAATCTGACTTTTAAGTGCAAAAGAGCTCAAATTAATATTATGTCTAAAGCACCAACTGATGTGATGTATTCAAATGCTAACAAATTGTCAAATATGTGGGATATTTTCAACTGCAGTAAAAGTGAATTAAGAAATAGATCTTGAGCACATCTATAAGCAATTTGGGAAGCAAATCCATGTCATCTTTTATTTGTCGTAACAGTGTAACTATATACTTCGGATTATATTGTATTTGCTATCCTTTAAAAATTGTCTTGTAAATTGTTTCTGTTGGACAATAAACGCTATACTATTATTTCATTAGTTCAGACTTCCATTGTCTAGTATGATATAAATTGATTTGGAATCCCTGAAAGAATCTGTAAAAAATTAAAAATTGAAAGGTTAGCTGAAGAGATAACAATTATATTGAGCAAAAAAACTAAAATTACAATGAAATAAAATACAAGTATCAACCATAAAATAAAAAAAATGAAATAATAACACGAAATGAAAATTAAAAAAATTATTAACAACAAATTAAAATTACAAATTGAAAGATTCCAATTCAAAACCAGGCTACCAAACGTAGACTACGATTCCAAGAATTGCATTTACCGGATACCCTGCGAGTGCGGAGAATAATACATCGGTGAAACTAAGAGGCCATTGAAAGTTCGCATTGCCGAGCACAAGAAACACACACAGCGAGGAGAAACCAGCAAATCCGGAATAGCAGATCATGTTTGGACTCATCAACATAACATCAAGTGGGCTGAAGCTGAAATCATCCACAAGGAGGAACACTGGTTCAGAAGAAATTTCAAAGAAGCCGCGTATATGTTGTCCAACAACGCATTTAGCCAAGCTAGCGTAGAGATACGCGATATATGGAAACCTCTAATCAAGCGGAACACGACCAACTCCCGCCAAACGGTCAGCTTCCGCTAAAACCGATGAAGCGTATAGAGGGAAGAGGGGATAGGTCACTCAAGTGACCTGTAAATAGTCAGATCTCTGAGGAATAAGTCCAGCCATTTGTCCTTCTTCGACAAAAATCAGCTAAAATGGTAAGGGAGCTGGGCTCCAACCTGGATGTAATCAAGACGACGTGCACGAATTAGTCCAGTTTTCACCCGAAGACGATTGTGTATACTAACAAATGGAACGTGTGAATTAACTTGGTTTGGAATCTTTCAATTTGCAATTTTCATTTCTTGTCAATAATTTTTTTAATTTTCATTTCGTGTTAATATTTCATTTTTTTGACTTTTGTTTGTTACTTGTTTGTTATTTCATTGTAATTTTAGTTTTTTTGCTCAATATAATTGTTATTTTTTCAGGTAACCTTTTTATTTTTTAATGTGCTACAGATTCTTTCAGGGATTTCAAATCAATGTATATCATACTAGACAATGGAAGTCCGAACTAATGAAAGGCACCGTGAAACATTGTCAACCACCTTCAAACATATATTATTATTAGGAGTACTCCTTAAGTGCTTCATCAAAAATTATTGGTGGGATACTTTTAAGAAAATCAAGTTTTTTCAAACTAATCTCTCTTAGCAAATATTTCATTCAATTTCAAAACACTATTAAGTCACCTAAAGGAACAATTCGTTCAGGCCAGTCTCAACTCCCTACACTGTAGGTTAATGGACTGACACCCATCAGAAAACAACTAGTACCCTGGCTAATACCACGAAGGCCGTTGGATTATATCCGACTGGTGTCAGTGCAGAATTCTTCACTGAAGTTATTCCTGCATATGCTGTTGGTGATACAACTGTATGCTGTTGGCGATACAACTGCCGCAGTAGATTTTTAATTATTGGAACACACTGGCTGACCGATTTTGGGCTGATACTCGTCAGTGGAAGGTAGTGTCTATCATCAACATTAAGTCGATGATTTCCGATAATTGAAAATCGAATTTCTTCAGAGTATCATTCCTCGAACTAGGCTGAAGCGGACAACAAACAACAGGTTTGTTATCGCCCCATCTGCCTGTGAACGAGGTTACCAACCTTTAAATTTGATTTATGGCCAGTCTTCAAGTATACCCACTGACTATATGTGAAAACAAAACACTATTGTTCCAAAATGATAATTGAATTATTTGGCAAAGATAATATTTCAGAGTTGTTCAAGTGTATGTAGTATATATATTCTATAAATATTTTTTAAATGAAAGAAAAAATGCTATCAAAAAACCGAAAAATAGAAAACACGTTGCTCATCAGAGCGAGTGAAAAAGTCACAAAACTCAATAACTATAAATTGCTTCAGCCTTGAAACTTCTTCATGGTACATTTTTTGAGTACAATTATGGGACACTGTTATCTTGATTTCATTTCAAACTTGAAGGTTTGACAGTAGTTAGAATTTGATTGCCAAATGTAGAGTGTTGAATTATTTGAAATCATACATTATATTATATTTGTGTATTTGAATTATTCCTTTTTTGTTTCAATGATACCTGAAGTAATCATAATTTAATTTCACAGTGTACTATTATTATAGTATTATTCACTTGTAGCGCTTGTATTCACAGTTAGCGCTTGTGTTTCTCATTAAAAAAACAAACTGTTCAAACTGTGTTGCAGCATGACATTTCTGAACTATGATTCATTTTCTTCAAATAGCACTTTAAATTTAAAATTATATTATTTACGATGAAATGAATGCACCTGTTGAGTGAGCCATCGTTTTCAAATTATTGAAGATGTCAGTTTTCAAAAATTATTTCGATCTTCACGTGATGAATGGCATTTGTTGTATTCTTATAAAATTGGGATGTTTCAAACTCCTTTTCTGAAATGTCACTTATTTTAGTGAATACTTCTGCATCGTTATAATTTTGATCTGATAAGTGACCTGATATTGAGAGCTTATTGAATCGTATGAGGCATCACTTTTTCAGGAATAACACAAGAGAAGGAGTTGCTAATTACTTCACTGATTAACCAAATCCTTGTATCGAACAAATTTATTGAAAGGAACAAACAAATTCTAATACTTAATATTCTACACATTGATTAAATTATAAGTAGCAACTCAGTCACTGGTATTATTTTTATTATAATTCATCACATTGAGAGCTTAATGGAAAATTTAGTGTACGAGAAAACTATATAAAATGTTCTATAACTGAAAATGATGACTAACAATAAACACAATTCTCAATGATTCATGATTTCAGCACACAACCCGATATCCAGTCACCTTGGTTCACAGGCGGGTAGAAAGTTCCATGCTGTTGTAAAATAACTTCACCTGGATATTCAATGCTCCAGAATCATCACAGAACTTAGCCCAATCAGAATAAGAGACTTCCGAATAGCAACTCGTGTCCAAAATATCAGAATTGAATTTCATAGAGTAACAGATAGAACTAAAAATTGGAACAAGGGTGCTATTATTTCCTCTGATGAAAGTTATTTCATAGCGAAAAAGCCCTTCTTCCGTTGATTCTCCAAAGTAATAGCAACCTGAGCAGAACATTTCATCACTTGTGCGAAACATAAAAGAAAAACCAAATATTCTGTCGAATGCAAGATGTAAAACAGTTCCACCACCAAAAGATTCAATATTTTCTAAACTTGGAACCGTAATATCAATATTTCTGATTGAAACATACTTAGTATGATGCGATACACAGTGTCCTGTTATAAATTTCATAGGACCTCTCCATGTGCACAAAATATGGAATCTCAGTGGACAAAGAACAGGTCTGAATGGACAAATCATTCCATGATCAAGTGAGTATTGTTCAAGTCCTTGGTATTCACAACCAAAATTTGGACATCTGATGAAGCGTTGATATACGACAGGATAATTCATCTGACTATCAATGGTTATCATTCAGTTTCTGAAATCAGAAAGTGGCCAATTAAGATCAACACACTACAAAAATGAATGGTAATAATAACATTAATAAGGAATTATGGAGATAAAAAAAACTGAAAAAAATGTCATAAAGACCTGTTCAGTGAATTCGAACAAAACAATTCCCAAAATAAGTAATAAGAAAAATATTCAGTTGATTCAGTTCAGCCGTCAGTATTCGCTTCAACAATATAACCAGTAGCCTGTGACTAGTGATATGGTTAATGTAAGTGAAGCCGATGATACCTCTAATCACGAAGGACGCCATTTATAAGAGTTATTGAAGACTCAATCCATAACGAGGCTCTCCAAAGCAGTCGTTGCAAAGCCAAGCTTCAACTTCGTAATACAGCACCAGACAGCAATGTTTCGTGCCGGGACTGATCTCATAATTGTTGCCAGGCTGTTTATATCCACTGCACCTTTAAGAATAATTGAGTTCATTAATGTATTCATGATTCAGCCTACCACCACTGTTGAGACATATGGCGGATTGAAACAGCATTGTCTAGTGTTGGATCACGAATGCTTTTTGTTTGAAGGTGGTTGACAATGCTTCGTAATGTATTTCATCAGTTCGGACTTCCATTGTCTAATATAAAATAAATTGATTTGAAATCCCTAAAAAAAAATCAAAAAGATTAACCGAAAATAACAATTTCATTGAAAAAAACTGGAATTACAAAGAAATAACATACAAGCAACAACCAAAAAAAATTCCAAACCAATCTACGTCACGACGTTTCGATTGTTAGTATCCACAATCATCTTCGGGTGATAACTGGACTTATTCCTCCGAGATCTGACTATTTATAGGTCATAGGTCATTCAAGTGCACACCTATCCCCTCTTCCCTTTCTCCGCTTCATTGGTTTTAGTGGGAGATGACCATTTGGCGAAAGTTGGTAGTTTTTCGCTTGATTAGAGGTTTTCATATGTTACGTATCTCTACGCTAGCTTGACTTGTTCAACAACGCATTTAGTCAATCTAAATAAATAGTCAGATCTAACAATCGAAACGTCGTGCGTAACTTTCAATTTTCATTTTTTTAGTATTAATATTTTTTTAATTTACAGCATTCATTAATTTTTTATTTTATTTTTGGTTGTTGCTTGTATGTTCTTTGTAATTTCAGTATATTGTTCAATAAAATTGTTATTTTCGGTGAATATTTTTAATTTTTTTCAGGGATTTCAAATCAGTTTATATTATATTAGACAATGGAAGTCCGAACTGATGAAATACGAAAGCTTTTTTTGGGTTTTCGGGTCTAGTTTTGACCGATATGGTTAATGGTCGGTTCCAAAACCAAATAAAAAAATATCTTAACATTCTCAGTTACCAAATGACATTGGAAAATTGAAAATGATTTATCATGTCCATGTCAAAATATGTAATGAAACAGCTAAAGACTGTTTACGTATCCCCCTTCCACTAAAACATATTATGTCAAAATAAAAAATCTTCTGGAATTTTCAACCTCAATTATTAGGTTACAAATGTTTATGGAACTCATTTTGATATGAAAAAACAAACAGAAGGTTAGTATCACAGTCCCGTCCTAAATATGTAAATTATGGGTCGATATTTTATTTTGGCAATGAAATATATCATTCACAATGGCGACTAACTTAACTGATGACTGAGTAAGTTTGACATATCTAAAATAATTGGCTACACTAGAAAATACTCACATCGTTTTCCTTCAGGATGAAATTATTATTTTCAAGAACGTATCTCTCTCATTGATAAAATGAACTAACTCATAAGGGATTCACCTTTTTCAAAGGTACCTTATAATAATGAAACTCTCTTCTCTCCAGTAACGAGAGTGACATTCAGAAAACATATCGTTCTTACGGAGCAGAACAGCCATCTAATCGTCAAAGTTTGCAATCAATGTATGGCGATTCGAAAACACAAATGACAAATACTTAAAACTGGAGGTCACAAGATAACAGATCAAATAATTTACCTTGTTGGTTCATATACTGCTACACCAAGAGATGACGCAGCCAGTACTTCAATGAAAATAGTAATGAGCCAGAACAAGGTTAACGCTAAAAATAATAAAGATACCTTTATGAATTACATCCAGATGATTCAGCCCACTAACTCAGTGCGGCACCCTGGGTCTTTATTTTCGAATAAAAGGAACTCTTACATCGAGAGTTGTGAGAGATTGAGAACAGAGAGAAACATTCGATTTTTCTTTTAATATGACAGATGACCTGATTTGAAAATAAAGCTTCTGGTGTTGTGAAACATCAATGAACATGCTGAACATGCTGAAAAATCTATTGAACGAGGCTTGGCTAAAAAAATTATATGCTTTGCAACTTACAACTCATCCCATTAAATATATTCCTCTCTACTACCTCTACACTTTTGCATTCGAATTCTTCATTCTGCATTGTTCAAAACGGTGTTTGAAGTCATTTTCTAAAAAAATGTTCTTCTGTCTTTTACAGATTACCCCGTATCAAACTTGGTTCCTTTCCATGCCTTCTTCACTGTCGAGAATATAGAAAAGTCACGTAAGGCTAGATATGGTGAGTAGGATTGATAGTCCAACCTCAGGTTTCCCATGCTTGGCCAAAAATGACTCAACAGTCATTGAGTGTGGGCTACAGCAGTGTCCTGAGAAAGCATCCACAACGGCTGGAATATGGAGGGGAAATATCAGGCGACTGGACAATATGCCGTTGGGCTCCCAAGCTCTCACAGAAAACTAATTCCATTATTGTCTATCCACACCCAGTGAATCGTTATAATTTTGTTGGAAATGTATAGTTTATAAAAAAAAGATCACTATGAAGATAATTTTGAAGAAGTGGTCGAGGAAGAAGGTTGCCTTTGAAACACCAAACACCATTTATAAAAACGCCAATAAATTACATACTATCACATTATTTTTATATCAATCTATACGCTGAATTTTGATCTATCCATCATCACTACCAATAGTAGATTCCATATAAATAATATTTTTCAATAATATCCTAATATTCGCCATTATCCCAACAGAAAATTGATTGCTTCTTACTTTATAAAACATGATTTAGGGAGACTTCTATGAATTAAATATTATTTGTCATTTACCCCCTTCTTTTGAAGCTATCAAGTTCTTCTGATATCGATATCTATGAACTAATTATACTTCATTCTTTCCAGGTCTTGACCCCTTCCGTTTTTTTGTAAAAAAAATAGTTTGGGTCCAAACATCTCTCCACGTTGAATACCACAATGACAAATCATTACAAACCTCACCATTTATGCAGAAAATTATTTATACTGTTCTATCTTTATGTCTTATCAATTATTGAAAATTTTCATTACTTTTCAATAATTATCATCAGTAAATTATTATTTTATATTGTTCTTGTACCTTTATTTCTCATAAATTGTAGTGAATACGAAATGGAAAAGGGATTTCACGAAACGGTGTCTCTCGAAAAATCTTTAAAAAAACAGGCTGTATATGGAAATGTATTTTAAAGAATTACCCCAAACATCTCTCGAAGGGTGTAAAATATCTAAACCGAGAAGAATACACAAATGAATTACACGTGGGTTACACTATTATTTTTTGGAATGTATTCATTACACACGAAACACTCGGTTCGTACAAATATTCGAGTCTTAACCAAAAGTGGTTACGAGATGAAAATATATAACCATCTTTCTTCAGGGATATTGAGAATTATATGATTAGGGATTAGTGTTGAAATTGTTCTGAGAGCTCCCTTATTCTACGGCTCAGACGAATTTTTCAAAACCTACCCTGACCCAACATAATTTAACCTAACCTATTGAAGAAAATCTCTTTCGTTTTAGGATTACATTAAAAACTTAGTAGGAAAATACTTTTGTTTGAAGGTGGTTGACAATGTTTCATGGTGAATTTCATTAGTTCGGAATTCCATTGTCTATTATGATATAAAATGATTTGAAATCCCTAAATCAACAAATAAAATTGAAATCAATAGCTGAAATGAAATTACGATGAAATAAAAATTTGGCAGAAAATTGAACAATTAAAATGAAATGAAAATTAAAAGATTTCAAGCCAAGTTACTTCACGACGTTTCGATTGATAGTATCAACAATTGTCTTCAGCTGATGACTGGACTATTACTCCGAGAGATGACTCTTTATAGGTGATTCGAGTGATTTCACTCATCCTCTATTCCCTTTTTCCGCTTCACCGGTTTAGCAGGATATGACCGTTCGGTAGGAGTTGACCGTTTTCTTCTTGATTACGGGTTTCCATATGTTGCTGTGTTTCTTGTGCTCGGCAATGTGGACTGTCAATGGCCTCTTATATGGTTTCAACAATATAGGATTTTCCGCACTCACAGGGTATTCGGTAAATGCAATTCTTGGAATCGCAACATATGGAATCTGGAACAGGCTCTGATGTTGTGCTTGGACCCAATTCTTATCCTTTCCGACAATCCTCTGATATAGAGAAGTGCAAGCACTGATTTTCTGTTCCACCATCACTTTGGATTAACCATTCCTTCCAAGATTTTTTTTATAATGCCTAACCCTTCTCGATATCTTCCTTTGTATTACAGAGCCCGAAAACACGGTCTACCATAGTCTTGACGATTCCTCTCTTGATAGATTGATGATGGTTGTTGAATTCATGATTTATATACTGTCCCGTGTGAGTGGGTTTTTGGTATACAGATGTTAGTGTGAGTCCTCCTCACCAATACGTCTAAGAATGGCAATTCGTCGTGGACTTCTTTCTCCATTGTGTCTAGTTCCTGTATTTCCATGGTTCCATATTATGAAGGTATCATCAACGTATTTCAACCAGACTCGGCGTTTTTCATGAGCTTCTTCGATGGCCAGGGCTTTTAAATCATATCAGGAATTTCAAATCATATCATATCGTATTAGACAATAGATGTCCGAAGTAATGAAATGGTTTGATCTACTTATTCAATCGACGGTAAGGTTAAACGGTGATTCGAGCCGAGAGCCTGGACTTTAATCCAACCCGTGCTAAGAATCACACGTTTGAAGGTATAGTCGGTTTCACGGTATATGGTATTGGCTAAACGATCATAAATAAAATCCATTAGATCTTCAAGATGTAAAACCCGAATCAAATGAAGGAAACAGAATTACAATATTACGCTACACTACACTACGCAATAGGATTAAACCAGGTTTTTGTTGCAGTTGATACTACACTACAGTACGCAATGGAATTAAACCGGATAGTTTACTGCAGTTGATAAGCCAATATCATCTAGAGTGAAACGTACTATAACAAGCGATCGATCGCGCAAGTATAGACTCTCCCAACTAAATTACTACTGGATTACGATAAGCCCCTTGCCGGTCAGTGTCGTACTTATAATTAGTTTTATATAGGGTAGCAAAAATGGAACATGAATCCTTTGTAATTTCTTTTCATATTTCATTTAGTATTATAGGTAGTAGTACAGTTCATTAAATTGTTATATCATGATACACTCTTGATGGCCTTTTTTACTAGGCGATTACATTTTATCAGAAACAACACAAATTATTCAGACACTGCCAAACGCCAACAGCATTGGAGAACAAATAATGATACGCCATTGACAAGAGCTGCAGTGGAGGTTACATTGAAAATGAGTTTGTACGCATGAGAGCTGGCTCGCCATCACGTTTGGCGCTTGCTGTTTAAGACTTTGTTAATCCTCAGCTCGCACAAGTTTCGACATTTTGGGGTTCATAGGGGGCGACATCTGGTTGATAGAGAAAAAAATGTTTTTTCAAACATAGAGATTTTGCAATTGTGATTGTTGCATTGTTTCGGCAATGAAGCATACTCTGAATCTGAATTTATATGATATTAATTTCTGCTTGGTGTATTTACACCATGCTATTCTCCAAGAGGGGACTTTTTTCCAAATATCGCCTACACAAAGGAAACCAATCTTCCGACACGGTTTCGAAAATCGAACACCCTATATTCGGCGCCTCGCCGTATAGCTAATGAGCTGTAGGAAGATAGACTGACTGCACCATTCTCTCTCACCACTAATTTGGACCGCGCCATTGTTAGGATCCCCCTGCTAACAAGACTGACAATCCGAAATAATTGGACTCTCTTACTAATTGGAACAATAGTTGAAAAATAACTTTGAACGCATCATAATGAATCCTCACATAATTCTCGGTCGAGGCACAGACATTATAAAATGCCTCTTCATCATCAGGAGTTCTAATTAAACCTGTATCTAATTATCTCCGAGCTAATTAAATATGTAACCGCAGCGAAATTCGCCGAACAAAGTCAAAAGCATCCTTATAAAACTAAAGTACAAGGCAGCAATTCTGACTTTGTGTTTATCCAACTTTCTGACAGTTCAAGCCCAATAAACGTTATAATGAGGCGCTTCATGTATATTTACGTGGCTCTATGAGCGGGGCCGATACTCCATTTATAATCTATTACGCAGGCTCATAATTAGTATCTCGTTTTAATTAATAATTGAAGAGACCCTCCATAAACTGTCATCTTCCTTTATGATGTTCCTCCATGATTTATTTCATATTAGTTTTAATGAAATCTACTTTAGGACAGCCGAAAAATATGAGTGTCAAGAATATGAAGCTTTGAAATGAATATGAAAACAAAAGAATACAAACAACAGCTGATACACGAGCTGATCGATTCTTTAATTCCAATATTATTTGTAGTCATAAAAGGTGAGAAATATAACTTTATATGTTTCTACCACTTTTATTCGTAGCTAATGTTGTTTCGTGCTATAAGAACATTTTCAAACAATTACAGCAATAGTACCAACATTAGTTACAGATAAAAGTGGTAAAAAACATATAAAGTTTCATTTCTCAGTTTTCGTTCTGATCTTCTAC